TTAGTATTTATTTTGGTAAAATGAGTATTTTGTTTTGTTTTTGTTAAATTAAGGGAAAAAAAGACAACTACTGTTTCACAAAGTTAAAGTAAAAATGTCTTATTTCCCTAAAAGGGCTATTTCTATTATTAAGCAGGCAGGACTTAACAAAATAAAAGAGTTCCTGTGCCTCAACACATTACCTCATTATTTGCTGTGTACTGGCAAAGTGAAAAATTGTTATTTTCATGCACCCCATTATTGGTTGGTTGTGAGGAGAGTTGATTTGTATAAGCTTGGCTTGACCATACTAAATGGGCATATAGCCCTGCACCCCATGACCGCCCTGCATGGGACCGGACCTTGGTCTTATTTAAAAAAAAAAAAAGTGGACCTACAGCATTTCTAGTTGAGGACCACTGCTTTAGGGTTTATAAGTTCAAGGTGTAAAAGAATGCAATCTACAATTGTCACGATGAGAGACAGAGAGAGAGAGAGAGAGAGAGAGAGAGAGAGAGAAAGAGAGATGTTAAATTTTTATGTTACAATGTTTATGTTAAGGGCGGCCCGGTAGTCCAGTGGTTAGCACGTCGACTTCACAGTGCAGAGGTGCCGGGTTCGAATCCAGCTCCGGCCTCCCTGTGTGGAGTTTGCATGTTCTCCCCGGGCCTGCGTGGGTTTTCTCCGGGTACTCCGGTTTCCTCCCACGTTCCAAAAACATGCATGGTAGGCTGATTGGACACTCTAAATTGTCCCTAGGTGTGAATGTGGGCGTGGATGGTTGTTCGTCTCTGTGTGCCCTGCGATTGGCTGGCAACCAATTCAGGGTGTCCCCCGCCTACTGCCCGAAGACTGCTGGGATAGGCTCCAGCACCCCCCGCGACCCTAGTGAGGATCAAGCGGTTCGGAAAATGAATGAATGAATGAATGAATGACTGTCTGTTAAAATTGGTAAAAATAAAACATACAAAATGTTTATTTTTGTAGTTTGTTGTTACCTGCTCTCTTATTACACGTGTATACAGTTCATGGTGTAAAATAGTCGAAAAAAATGCTTTTAAAAAAGTTGTTTTCTAGACTTGGAACGGATTAAAATTTTTTACATTGATTCTAATGGGAAACATGGTTTTTCGAACAATTCGTTTTTCGAACAGCCTTCTGGAACGGATTATGGTCGAAAACCGAGGTTTAACTGTATGAAACATTCAGGAGATGCTTGGAGTCGGAAAGACTCAAATCTACGAGACTATGAAAAACAAGGAAGGGATTCTTGCTCAGTCTGATTCTGGCAATTTCCATGCTCAGAGTGAATTGCTCACGGCTCTAGTAAATTAACGTTTCCTGGAATGGTTTGACTGTTATCGTGTTGAAAACTTTCCGCAAACTGGACTGCTAATAAGAGAGGAGGCGAGTTCCATCACGCTAACTTTGAGCATCGAAGACTTCAAAGCGTCCCGTGGCTGGCTTCAAAAGTTCGTTGCACGACGTCAGCTGAGCAACGCTGTCATGTGTGGTGATCGAGGGGAGGTAAAGTTAGAGACAGTCAGTGAGTGGAAAGAAAAGACACCAGGTCTCTCACTCGTCTCATTTTTAAGCAAATCGTCCTAACTTTGTGATATTTTATATATTTTTTATTTTGTATTTTTTTATATATCTGTACCGTATGTTGCAGTTTTTGGGTAATACAGGTATATTGTTGCACTTTTTTGCCTGTGTTTTCACACATATCATACAGGACATACAGTATATTAGAGTTGTTTCACTGTTCTCATTAAAAAAGCATGTTAATGCTTTAATGCTTTTGTTCGGATGATGTCAAATTTCAGAAATCAATGTGGCCCCCGAGCCAAAAAGTTTGCCCACCTCTGATTTAGAGTGATCAATGAACCTACTGTGCATGTTTGTTGGATGATTTCCAGACATTGCAGTAAAAAATTTAAATAATTTATGACATTTGAGTAAATAGATGGGCAGCATTCTGAATCTTTGTGCCCATTATGAGTTATACAAGATTGGATGCGTATACGTCCATTAATGCCCGACGAAGTGTCCAATTATCAGGGATTTCTGGACGAGGTGGACGTGTGAACTAGCACGCAGGGGAGGATGGTTGCCTCCATGATGTCCATTAATCCCTGATCATGTACATCTCGAAGGGCATTCACCTGCTTTTAACATGGTCATTTGCGAATGAGAATTCA